CAGGGTAGAGCAGGGTTTAGGGCTATTGTTCATAGGGTCGCTATGAGTTGCAAACGACTCGACGGCACATAACAACAACAACATAGCTGACACACCATTTTACATTCTCACTGTTTTGATGTTGTTATTGTTGTTAAGTGCCGTCAAGTCGTAGGCGACTCATAGCAACCCTATAAACGAAAGACCTGGACACTTGTATAACTTTCATCCTTTCTCCACGTTCATAGGCTTCATAAGTGAATGCCAGTCACTGCAAGAGAGAGAGCGTCCTTAATGAGATGTACAGTGACTACAAAAATGGGTTTGAGCATGGAAATTATGAGGAGGTTGCAAGATAGAGTGAGGTTCCAATTTGTTGGTGAGCCATAGTTCTAATGGATATGAAGTGATAATCTCACTAAGAGTTTTGTTTGTATTCCCCTAGTGACTACTGATTTTGGGTGTCATTTCATTGCATCTTGATTGTTTCTAGATCCACTTTTAAGAAATACCCATTCAAATCTTTTGTCCAGTTTCTAACCACATTGTCTATTGTTGTGTCATAGAATTATTTATATATGTTTAGATACTATACCTTTCTCAGCTATATGATTGATAAACTTTCTCCCATTCTCTGGATTTCCACTTTCTTGATAGCATGTCACTTAAATGTTTTTTTTACAGCTGTATTTTATAAGAGATACAAATTTTGCAATAATACACAAGTTAAAAAAATTGGAGAGCATTTAACAGGACACTTAACAGTTGATAGGCATTGCCTGCAGTCCTCACAGTATAACTGCGCTCTGATCGCTCCCTCCCTTTGTGGGCTGTTTCCTGTCTTCTGAGCTTTATCTTGGACAAATCCTGCCCTTTCGATCTCCTCTGGTTGATTCTTATCCTAAGGAGCGAGTTTCTCCTTGGCTGTTCACTTTACAGGCCAGCTGTTGTTTGGCTGAAAGTTGGGCCACAGGAGTGAGTTCAGTGCCAGCCTCAGGACCACACTTGTGGGGTTCCCCTAGTCAAGCTTTTTTTTTTTTTAATTTTGACCTTTGTTGCAAACTTTCCTCCAATTCTCCCCAGAATTCTCTATGTGATGATCCCTTTCAGAGCAGTTGGCAGTGGTAGCCAGGCATTGGCTAGGTGTTGAGTCTTGAAAGTCATGGAGGATGAAGTTATCATGGCCTATCAGTCCTCTGGATTAAATGCATCAGAGTAATCCTGAAGACAGGATCTTTGCCACACAAAAGCTTCTTTGTGCTACAAAGAATGCCAATAAGAGAGGTGTGGTGACAATAGTCTGGGGAGTATATTAATTGTAATGAGAGCGTTTCAGGAAGTCTTCAAAGAGAAACATCAAGAGGCAGAAACTGGATCCACAAACTACATTTACTGAGCACTTACTGAATATATCATATGCAAAACAGGCAGGAAGAAACAGGTGAGAACTTGAAGAAATAGACACATCAATTTTAGCACTAACTAAACTATTGGAGAAGAACAAAAGTTGTATACGTTATACTCTAAAGAGCATTCTTAAGTCCATCAGAAAAGGCTATAACACAATACAGTAACATTTTTTTCAAATTGTGCTTATTGTTGTACAATTACCCTAAAATGGGTTGGTTAAATGCCTGTAGAGCATCCATTCTTATTACACAAAATGTCTCACATTAAAGATCGCTTTAATAGGGTAAATCCTTTGATTCACTTGTGAGTCATCCACGTAGTTCCTCCAAGAAACATAACCACGTTTGCATTAGTTCATTTTACCATTAAGGTCCACGGTTTCTTCAGTCAAGTTTATTATCAGATTCTCTTCAGAAATCTCCCTTCATATCTCTTTTGTCTGATCATCTTCTTCAAGTTTCCTGATTTCATTTTTTAAGCAATTTATAGTTTCACGACTTGCTTTTAATCTCTCTTTAAGTTCTGCAATTTCAAAGCTTGTTTTTTTCTTTGCAGCTTCCAGTTTTTCTCTGGTTTTCACTTCAAGTTCTGCAACTGAGGAAAGCAAATATTTTTACAAATTATTTCACTTTTTACACGTTTCATAGAGTAATAAGTGTTTAACTTAATTTAACTTATTATTAAATTCTTCATTTCAACCACTTCACCGTTCTCATGGAGTAATATTTTCTGAGGTAAATCTTTTTAAAGATTATTACAGCCTAAAATATATTAATGTTAAACAAGTTATGTACTAGAATTAGAACCAACTCACAGCTGAGCCTCCAGTGGGTTTTCAGAGGCAGTTAATCAATCACACAAGAGGAGACTGTCCATCTTTCTCCCTCGGCTGGTGACCCTGAACCATGTGCCTTCGAGATTGCAGGACAGCTTCTTGCCACTAGCAAGAAGTCAATCGTATGGGTCAAAAACTCAACTCATCGTGGTTAGACATTTGAGTTGTTTTCATGTTCTTGGTATGGTTAATAACACTACTATGAACACTGGTGTACAAACCTCTGTGCCTCAGCAGTGGAATAGCTGGGTCATATGGAATGTCTATGTTCGGCTATTTGAGGAAATTCCAAACTGCCTTCCAGAGTGGTTGGACCATTTTACAATACCACCAACAACGTATAAGAGTTACTATTGCATCACATCCTCTCTAACATTTACTACTTGCTGCCTTGTTAAATTCTGCCACTGCTACTGGAGTGAGATATTATCTTACTGTGGTTTTGATTTACATCTCTTATTGCCAGTGAGTACAACCACAATGGAATGGATTGAGAAATTATGGTACATTTACACTATGGAATACTATGCAGCACAAAGGAGTAATGATTCTGTAAATTACTAGGTAACTTGGGAGGGACTGGAGAGCATTATGCCAAATGAACTAACTCAGTCCCATAAGGACAAATAGTGTATAAGACCATTATTGTAGAACATGTATGTGGATCCAAGGTGGGGTGGGGGAGCACATGGGGAGACGTTATTATAGGATCACACCATTTGATGGGTAGAGGGAGTTGGTAAAAGAAAGGAGGAAGATCCAGTGTGAAAAAACAATGTATATGAGCTTTGTGAGTAAACCAGTATGAAATAAAAAATTTATAAAAACAATGTATTCAAATTCTGTAAATAAACTAGTAGAAAATGGGGGGGGGGGAAACTATAAAAACAACCAAACAAAAAACTCAATTCATTGCCATTAAGTTGGAACTGGCTCATAGGTGACTCGTGAATTTTCAGATGCTCTATTATTTGGGAAAGGATTGCTTTTCTTTCTCCCACAGAGTAACTGGTGGATTTGAAGCACCCTCTCTATCCACAAGGCCACCAAAACTCTCTAAACATAAGGGTAGAATGTTTTAATTCCTACAGACGATCTAAGATGTTTTCTATAACTAGAGTGAAATTCTGGCCACTAATGTCTTAACGCATATGTACGATTTAAAAGATATGTTATGTGCCACTGAGTTGCCTGCGACCCATAGCAACCCTATGTACAGCAGCTGTGAACTGTGCCTTGTCCTGAGCCAGTCTCACTAATTCTGACACATCAACCTCCATTGCCCCAGTCTCTGTATCAATCCATCTCATCCACGGTCTTCCTCTCCTGCATTGTCCCTCTACTCTTCTGGGCATGATATCCTTCTCCAATATAGACTTATTTTTGTTTTCTTTAATATCAATTTAAAAATCAAAGGATAGGAGAGGTTTAGCTAAAATACAGAAAATAGTCTAAATTTATATGTAGATAAAGTTTATATAACCAAAATCATAATATCAAAACAAATCCTTAGCTTTTTTTCAAAAAAGAGAGCACAAAATACTTGTTGTTAGGTGCTATCAACTTGAATACTAATCATAGTGACCCTATGAACAACAGATCCAAAGTCTGTCTTATTCTCACCATCTCTGGTACACTTGAGCCCACTGTTGTCACTGTGCTAATTAATCTGGTTGAGAGTTTTCCTCTTTTGCCAACCCTCTACTTTTCCAAGTATGATGTCCCTCTCTAAGGAAAAACTTCTCCTAGCAACATGCCTAAAGTATGAGATGAAGCTTTGTCATCTTTGCCTCCAAGGAGCACTATGACTACACTTTTTCTAAGACATACCCGTTTGTTCTTTTAACAGTACATAGGACATACAGTACTCTTCTACAACACCATAGCTCAAGGGCATCAATTCTGCTGTCATCCTCATTCAGCATTCAGATCTCAGACTGAAAAGACAATGGCCTGAATCAGGCATACCTGTCTTTAAACTGACATTACTGCTCCTCAGTAATCTGGGGAGGTACCTGACAGCAGATATGCCCAATGCAATATGTTTTCTAATCTCCTGACTGCTATTACCAAAGGTGCTGACTGTAAATTCAGGTAAGATGAAAATGTTGACAATTTCAATCTTCTATAAGTTTCCATTTCAGCTCTCATTTATTAGTTATGAGACCATGAAATATTCTATCTTCTCTCTGCTCATTCCCTCACATGTAAAATTTTAACAGCAAATACCTCATAGTATTATTTCTTGAGAATATTTTAAATTAATGTCTGTATAATAGATGACTAATACAAAGCTTTATTAACTGTTACTATAATGACAGATGGCTTAGTGGGAAGGAAAAGTTGTGCTGCCAATGCAAAGGCACTAGTCAGCTCAGGTTCAGAGGCACATAACAAAATGACAACAGAGGAATCTCCCTTTCTCTTATCTCTTTGCCATTGAGTCAGGGTCAACTCATAGCTGATCCTCTGGTTCATCTGTGGAGGCAGTTAACAGCATAGGAGGAGACTGCTCATTTTTCTCCTGCAGAGTAGCTGATGGATTCAAACTGCCCACCTTTGGAATAAAGTGTTAACTTCCTACCCACTGTTGCTATTAGGTGCCTTCAAGTCAATTATGACTCACAGGAAACCTATGTGAACGAAAGATCTGAACCCTATCTTATCCTGTGCCACTGGCATAATTTCCAACACACTTGAGTGCATTAGGCCACCAGTAAGTGATATTTAAAACATTGTAACTGGCCATCTATCAAATTACTAAGGAAAATGTAATTACTGTAAAACAGGGTGGTGGTTAGGTGCTGTCGAGTGCAAGTCTACGAACAGATCTGAATCCTGTCCTATCCTGTGCCATCTTCACAACCTCTGACTCATTCAAGCCCACTGCTGCAGTCCCTATGTCAATACACCTAATTGAGGATCTTCCTCTTTTTTGCCATCACCCCACCTTCCCCAGCAGATGTCTCTCTCCAAAGAATAACCTGTCCTAGCAACAAGTCCAAAGTATCTGAGACAAAGGTTTGTCATCTTTTTGTCCAAGGAGCACTCTGGCTGCACTTTCTCTAAGATATATCCCATTGTTCTTTTGGCAGTCCATGGAATATTCAGTACTTTTCTCCAACACCACAGTTCAAAGGCATCAATTCTTCTGGCTTCCTTATTCACCGTCCAGCTCTCAGATTCAAGTGACTGAAAAGACCATGGCCTGAATAAGGCATGCCTTAGTCCTCAAACTGACATCATTGTTCCTAAGTAATTTGGGGAGGTCTCTGACTACAGACTTTCCCAGCGCAATATGTCTCCTGATCTCCTCACTGTTGGTACTAAGTGTATTGATTATGGTTCCAAGTAAGATGAAGTTATCAACAGTTTCAATCTTTTCTCCATTTATCATGATGTTGCACATTAGTCCAGTGACGAGGATTTTTGTTTTGTTGACGAGATGCATTCTACATTAAAGGCTGCAGTGCTTAAACTTCTGCAGCAAATACTTAAAATCCTCACTTTCAGCAAAGTGAACAGAGCAAAGAAACATGACACGGTTTAAAATTAGGAAAGGTATATGTTATGATTGTGTCCTTTCTCCATATCAATTTAACTTGTATGTTGAATAAATTATTCAAGAAGTTGGACTCTGAAGAAGAATGTGGCATCAGGATTGGAGGAAGATTCATTAATAACCTCCATTATGCAAAACAGGACACATATACTTAAATACTAGCATCTGGTAGCACACAGAACGCTTTACAAAGAAAAATGCCTACTTTCATCCTACACCTCCATCTTGTGGACATTTTAGGTAATTGCTGCTGAGGACTATTAAAAGTACTCCCATTGCACAAACTTTGAAAAAGAATTTCAAAATGATAACATTTAAAAATCTTTAAATTAGTTGTTTGTTTTGGTTTTTTTTTTTTTCACTTGGTTTCTAGGCCATTGGATCTTCCTGTTTTTGTTTTCATTCTTTTTAAAAAAATTTTTTTTATTGATTTTCATATAATTGTAACTTTACAGTATGTTTCGTTCATATACATTATGGATTTAAAAAAAATTATACTAGTTTATTTACAAAATCCAAATACATTGTTTTTCAGACCCGATTCTCAAAATGCTGGTAGACTCAGGGCTGTCCAAGGACTGATAATACAACTTAGTTCCCACACTTTACAGCTCATCTATACACTACTAACTTTCAAATTTTTACCTTCAATCTTGACCTCTTCTTGAATACTTCTGATGTACCTCTCTTCTCAACATGTCCATTTACATATTTTACATGCATCCTACCACTAGCATTTCCAAAAGGAGAGGAAGATCTTCAGTGAGATGGATCAATTCTGTGACTGGAGTGGTGGGAACGAGTGTGGTTGAGATGGCTAGGTTGGCACAGGATAGAATGGCGTTTAGGGCTCTTGTACACAGGGTTGCTATGAGTAGCATGCAACTCGATGACACATAACAACAAACAACAACCTTTCTCTATAAGCCTTGCTGCTTAGAGAGAAAGACATTTGATGAATTTTTTTTGTTCCTCAGGTACAAAATGTATCATCTTTTGTTCTTCTCTTTCTCTCATATCCCATTATTCAAACCATCAGCAAATCCTAATGTACTTGTCCTCAAAACAGACCCAAATTTTGAACCCTTCTTACCTCCTCCATTTCTACTTCTCTGACCCAAGCCACCATTCTATCATATCTGGATTAAATATTAGTACATTTCACACTCATCTGCTCAAAATTCACCAATGACTTTTCATCTCATTCTTATAATCCAAAATCCTCACCATTACCTACAAACCACTAGAAAAGCTGGTTCCCTATTAGCATCTCTGGATTCTCTTCTACCCTTCATTTTCATATTCATTCTACTCCAGTTACTGGTCTCCTTGCTATTTCTCCTGAGATGTGGAAGATGAAGATGCCTCAGAACTTTTGTCCTTGGTGAGACAGCCTTTACTCCTTTAGGACTGTGCTTAAATGATATCATTTCAGGAAGTAGTCCATGACAATATTTAAAATGCCAAGCATCTCTTTTTGTCAAAAGCACCTTTCCCCCTTTCTCTTTCTCCATAGTACTCAATCACATTGTATATTTTATTATTTACTAATTATCTATTTTTCTTTCATTAGAATATAAGCTCCATAAGGTAAGATATTTTTTTTTATCTGTTTTGGACAATGCTCCTATCCCCAGTACTAGTATTAAATATATATTGCAAGTGAGTGAGTGGAGTATTAAACAAGTGTCTGGAGTGACTGGTGAGATAACAGTAACATGAAATCGGTAACAGGTTTTAACTCTAGTGCTAACTCAGAATGAGCAGAAGGAGCTATATGCAGTGGTGTGTTGAGATTGCCAACTCAGAGAAGATGAACCAGGACTGTACAACAATGGGGTATCAGTGCCATCAACACAGATTAGGTAAAAAAGATGAAATAAATCAGTGTTCAAAAGTATGTTCTGCAAAGTTCTTCACACAGATTTAGTTAGCAGTGGTTAGAACACAGAAAATGAATAAATAACAGATGAAAAATGACTAATGAAAAGCTATGTTTAAATGTAATTAAGGGATAAAATAGTTTTCAGAGAATGCAACACCCTGTTTTTCACATTCTGAATAAAAGCCTTCCGATAATATTTAAAACATCTTTCTTCTACAGTGTATGCAATGATATAGTTTCAATGTCTGCAAAATTTACCTATCACATTGTTGTTGTTGTTGTTGATTGCCTTTGAGTCAAGCATGATTCACAGAGACCCTATGAAGAAAAGGCCTGAAGCCCCTCTACAACTGTCAACATTTATCAAAGTTCATAGAGATTCCCGAGGCATGTTGTTTAGAAAGTGGATGCCATTCCTGCTTCCAAACCTGTCATAGTATGTTACTGTTTTTATGTGCCAGAGTTGCCTGTGATGTATTGCGACCCCACGTACAGCAGCTCTTAACCCTTCCCTGTTCGGAGCCAGTCTCACTAACTCCAACACACCAACCCTCATCGCCCCAGTCACTGTATCAATCCATCTCATCTGGGTTCTCCCTCTTTTGCGCTGCCTGTCCATTCTTCTGAGCATAATGTCCTTCTCCAAGGACCGATCTCTATTGGCCAAAGTGAGGTGAAGCTTCAAAATCCTAAAAAATCCTTCCAAGGAGAGACTTGCTTTTACCCTCTCCAATCCTTAGTCATTGTCCAACTCTCTGAAGCATAACAAGTAATTGAGAAGACGACAGCCTGGATTAGGTCCTCCTTTGTATTTAGATTGACATCTTTGCTCTTCAGCACTCTGGAGAGGTCCACGAAAGCAGATTTCCCCAATGCAATTCGTCCTTTGATTTCCTGACTGCTGGTGTTAAAAGAGTGTTGACTGTGGATCTGAGCAAGCTATAATTATTAACAACCTCAATCTCTTCTCCATCTAATATGGTGCTGCCAATTGGCCCAGTGGTTAGACTCTTGTCTTCTTGATGTTAAGCTTCAATCCTTATTGAAGACTAGTCTTTGACCTTTTTGCAGCAAGTGCTCCAGGTCCTCTTCAGTTTCAGCAAGCAAGGTTGTGCATATCATAGGTTGTTATTGAGTGTTCCTCCAATCCTGATGCCACACTCCTCCTCATAAAGCCCTGCTTCCTGAATGATCTGTTCTGCATACAGACTGAAAAGGTACAGGGACAGGATGCATCCCTAATGCACTCCTTTCCTGATTTTGAACCATGCAGTGTTTCCTTGCTTTGTTCTGAGGACTGCTTCTTGGTCCAAGTATAGGTTTTGTGTAAGTACAACCTAGCACATTAAAAAAAAAAATTAACAGGCACTAATCATATATTCTTTTCACTCTGGCAGAAGAAGTTGTTTTCTGGATTATGAATCTATGGCACTTACATTCTGTTTCATGCTTATAGGCTCCTAATGTAAGCTGACGAGATGTTGTCAGTAATTGCTGCATCATTGCTGTTGGATCTTGAAATATCTAATGGTATAGAATGGAAAAAAGCTCAATAACTTTAAAGTTCATCAGCTTAAAATGCTTTAAAAACTCTCATAAAATCCTCTTACCATTTCATCATAAAACTCTGAAACTACTGTCTTTTTTCCCAGCATTGCATTGGTGTCTGACTGAAACAGCTTTAGTAAGTGATATAGGGTTACCTGTGAAATGAAAACACATGTCACACCTGTGTAATAGTTTCATTGTCATGGAGGTACGATGATGTGTGTGATTTGGGGAAAAATTAGAATATTCTTTAATATATATGCTGCAGGGTCTTGGGAAGAAGTTATAGAAAAATACATACAGGGGATATCCAAACTATTTGAGTGAACATGCTCCAAGCATTTAATCAGGATGAGAGGTAAGTGGAAAATCATCCATTTTGCAAGAATATTGAATTTAGAACTTAATCTTGCCTATGTGGAAAAGTTCATAAGTCACAATGAAATGGAACTGACATGAGGACTTGGATTAAAAGAAAGAAAGAAATGTGGAAGATGTAGGAGAGAAGTCTTAAAAAAATTCTATATGAAAAGATTAGCTGGAGTTTTTACTAAACTGGACCAGAGCATATGTTCCTTGAAAATATGAACCCAAATGCTTTGTTAAATTCCATAAGCAGAACTGGAAGGCAGTGAGCTGCTAATCCAAAATATATGAAGGAAAAATTTTCTGACTAGAAAGCACCATAATAATTCTCAGGGGATAAGCCAGACGATCCAGAACCTTCTACAATTGGAGCTATTATCAAGCTTATGAAATGCCAACATGGCTCAAGTCGTCTTCACGATAGGGGTAAATTTTTATGACTTATGTATTTGCAATTTCTGTATCAACATGTACCTGTAAGTTTATAGGTAATGTTTTAAATTCTCAAAGACAAAAACTTACACAGATATTGTTAATGAAAGGAAGTAATGAAGTAATAATATATAAAAAAAATCAAAGTATGTAATTTATATTGTTATCACTTTCTTTAAGTCAGGGACTACCAGTACAAGAGAAGGTTGTTCTTCAAAAGTATTCATGAAGTAGGAAAAAGGTACCTTTCTTCAAGGAATCAGAAAATTAAAAAATTTTTGTAATCAAAAAAGAAAAAGACTGAACCATTTGAACAGATGTTGCTGATTTCTCTCAAATACAATCCCTAGATACAGCTCAGCCAGATCCTATATTAAGGACATAATTCATGTTTAAGATTATATATTAAGAATATGGAAAAGTAGAAAGGAAATTGCACAGAACTCCACTGAAATAGATGTACTTTTGTAACTGACTGACTTTTATAACTTCAACTACATAATAATGCAACTATTAATCCATAAAATTTATTATTCAGTCTTTCAGAGGAATTCATGCAGATGTAGAAAGAAAATTTTCAAGACAGATGTCCTTAATTTTGAGTATTTGAAGGTTTTTTTAAAAAGAATGAAAATGCCTATATTTGTCAAAGAGTTATCTCTATGAATGAAACCTTGGTCTAGTATACAGCTTTTAGAAATAACCATTCCATTTACAATAGCTAAATTTCTGACATAACAGATTATAGGCTAAAAGAATAAATAATAATCCACCTGAGTTCTTTTTATCTTTTACATAAATCTTCATATCAATTATTTTCTGTAAAAGCTAACTATTGAAAAGTTATGACCATATTAACTATAACTGTAATAGAAGGATAATTAGCAAGATGTTGAGAAAAGTCAAAAAGGAAGAAGAGGAGAGGGGAAGGATTACTGAGGTTAGGGAAGGGGGATATCATGGGGTCATAGAGTTCAATGGGTAGAGGGAGGGGTTAAAGAATTAGGATAGACCCAGTGGGGACCTGAAAAGAGAGTGATAGTGAGTATAGAGCAATAGTGATTAAGTTTGTAAAACACATTATATGAGAATGATCATATGAAACAATGTGAATGAAGGAATGAATATGTAAAACACAATGTATATAAATGGAACACCATGCATAGGAATTCTGAATGCAAACCAATATGAACTTTTAAAAAATGTTAAAAAAGATTACTAACTTACATAGAGTAAGTATCTGAATGAAAATATCAACATGCAACCAGCTACTCACAAAGTATTAAATTGTCACAATTATTATGTACTTGCAAATAATAATGTTACTCACAGGTCTTTCATTAGGATCAATGAAAAATATTTTGATGATTATTTCAAATTCACCCCATCCTGTTTCGGTAATTTCATATGGAGGCTTAGTAACAACTACAGAGAAAAAAGAAATAGTAAAATGCTGATATATTTTTGTCTTCTGGTTCCTTTTAAGTTTATATAATATGGAAAAAACAGAACAAAACAAACTGTACCTCTTAAAGGATTACCATAGCTTTCATGTAATTTAAACTGGATTTTCTTCACATATGCTGACATATCCTAAAATAATAGATGAATTAATTAATCAATCTGTCTTCTGTGTCATCTATAAGATCTTTGAGACAAACACACTATGGCTTTGAATCTCATGTTATAAACTGCCCTCAAATTTTATGAAATTTAAAACAACTATGAGATACCATCTCACCCCAGTCAAAATAGCAAAATTTAACAGAGCAGCAAGCAAAATTTAACAGAACAGCAAGCAACAAATGCTGGCGAGGTTGTGGAGAAACTGGAACCCTTATTCACTGTTGGTGGGAGTGTAAAATGGTGC